AGAGGAAGTATGACCCTGATTATTTAAGGTTTGGTTTTTCATGCATTGGTCCTGACGATGCTCCGCTGCCACAGTGTGTTATTTGCAAAGAGGTGCTAGCTAACGACAGTATGCGACCATGTAAACTCCAGCGCCACATTGAAACTAAGCACCACAATTTAACAACCAAGCCGCGGGAGTTTTTTGATAGGAAGCTTAATGAATTGCGGTCACAGAAGAAAGCCATCCAGACATTTGGTACTGTAAATACCAAGGCAACCGAGGCATCATACCGCGTAGCGTTACGCATTGCGAAGGCGGGGAAACCCCACAACATTGGTGAGACATTGCTCCTCCCTGCTGCCAAAGATATGTGTTCGGTAATGATGGGCGAAGCTGCTGCTGCCAAGCTGGATGCCATCCCGATGTCTGACAACACCATCCAGCGCCGCATCTCCGACATGGCAGCTGATGTGAAGGAGCAGGTGCTGGACGCTATCCGTGAGAGCCCTTTCTTCTCCATTCAGCTGGACGAGTCCACCGATGTGGCTAACTGTGCACAGCTAATGGTGTATGTGCGCTTTATTAAAGAGCTCAGTGTCCAGGAGGAGTTTCTGTTTTGCCATCCTCTGCCGGCGCGCACTACAGCAGCAGAAATCTTCAAGGCTTTGAATGACTTCATTCAGGAACATCATATTGACTGGAGCCGCTGTTGTGGAATATGTACTGATGGTGCGAGGGCAATGACAGGCCGCCACAGCGGTCTAGTAAAACAGGTGCAAGCGGTTGCGCCCGCCGCTGTTTGGTCACACTGTATTATCCATCGCCAGGCCTTGGCAACCAAGAGGATGCCCAAAGAGCTGCGCACGGTCCTGGATGAGGCAGTAAAAATTGTAAACCTAATTAAATCACGCGCCATGAATGCCCGTCTCTTCTCTATTCTCTGCAATGAGATGGGGGCTCACTTCCATCAGCTGCTCCTGCACTCCGAGGTCCGGTGGCTGTCGCGGGGCAAGGTCCTCACCCGCTTGTGTGATCTGCGCGAGGAAGTCCTCCTCTTCCTCGCCGAAATCGACTCCCCACTGGTGAAGCATATGGAGGACGCAAAGTGGATTGCAATGCTGGCATATCTGTCTGATATCTTCGACCAGATAAACACACTGAACACTTCTCTGCAAGGCAAAGAGTGCCATGTCTTTTTGGCACACGATCAAGTCTCTGCATTCAGGAAAAAGTTGGACCTCTGGTGCGCTTGTGTTGAACAGGGCTCGGTGGAAATGTTCCCAACCTTGGAGGATGTTGTGGAGCAAACAGGACTGCAACTGAACTGTGTACAACAGGTGGTCATTGCACATTTGAAGGGGTTGCGTGAGCAGTTTGGAGACTATTTTGGAGAGGAGACCTTGGCAAATCAATGGGTGAGAAATCCGTTCTCTTTCCCAGTGACACCCCGTGATGGACTGACCCTGCAAGAGGAGGAGGCCCTTGTCGAGCTGAACTCTAATATGGACTTGAAACAAAAGATGGGTGAAGTGTCACTTGCACACTTCTGGCTGTCTGTGGAGACTGAGTTCCCCCACCTCACCAAAAAGGCTGTAAAAGTGTTCATCCCCTTCACCTCCACTTACCTGTGTGAGTGTGGATTTTCCGCATTGACAACGATTAAAAGCAAGTACCGGTCACGGCTGCGGGTAGAGGATGATCTGCGTTTATTCCTTTCTACAGCGCATCCCCGCATCAACCGCCTGTGCGCATCAAAGACACAGACTCACTGTTCCCACTAAAATCGAGGTGAGCAAATGTGTTGTGTGCAGTGTTTCAACGTTAATGTGGGATAACGTCGGATGAGTGAAAATGTGTTTAAAAAAATCAGTTGAAAAGTTAAATTGTAAATTGTAATTTTTTTTTTTTTAACAAAAAGATGTTTAAATGTATTCAAAATATGTTTAAAAACACACAAAGGTGTTAAAATGTGTAAAAAAAAAAGATGTTAAAAACAATGGTGTTAAAATGTGTTTTAAAAAGATGTTAAAAACAAAGATGTTAAAATGTGTTTTAAAAAGATGTTAAAAACAAAGGTGTTAAAATGTGTAAAAAAAGATGTTAAAAACAAAGGTGTTAAAATGTGTAAAAAAAGATGTTAAAACAAAGGTGTTAAAATGTGTAAAAAAAGATGTTAAAAACAAAGGTGTTAAAATGTGTAAAAAAAAGATGTTTAAAACAAAGATGTTAAAATGTGTTTTAAAAAGATGTGAAAAACAAAGATGTTAAAATGTGTAAAAAAAGATGTTAAAAACAAAGATGTTAAAATGTGTAAAAAAAGATGTTAAAAACATACAAAAATTGTGTTTAAAAAAATATTTGAGCACATTCACAGATAAAGATGTTTAAAATGTTTTAAAAATATGTTCAAGAACATACAAACATGTTTAAAAAAAAATAAAGATGTGTATGACATTTATTCTTGAAACCTTTTTTTTAAGCCTGCGTGGAACATACAAAGCAACATCAATAACAGTAATAAAAGTAATAATAATGGGGGGTGGGGGGGCGCGGCTGCTTTTGAGATCTCTTAGGGGAGGCCCACTATCCCACACTTTGAAAACCCCTGGCTTAGAACAAACATGATAGTATTTAGCTTGTGTTAACCACAGACCTTATTTCATACATCTAACCAAACACCCATTCAAAAAAACAGTGATTTCATGAACAGGGAACCGGGAGCACTAAAGTGCTAACTCATTTCTGGGTTTTAGGACTCATTCCTGGGACACTCTGTAGACCACCATTTTAAAATAGATATTTGTAAAACTTTCCTCAAGCTGAATAAAGTGATTTAAAAACCTGTGACATCACCTGTAATTTGCGAAAAAGATGTTGTTTTTCTTCAAGTGTAAAACGCTCCATTTTTCAGGTGTTGAACATGTAGAGAGGAAATAAACTTAATAATTCTCCAAACCCCGCTTGCTTGTTTATTAATGACATTTACTTCTACTTTCAATACGTAAGTACTCGTACTCGTACTCGTACTCGTCGTCCTCCGCTTATCCGGGTCCGGCTTCTGGGGGCAGCAGCCTCAGCAAAGAAGCCCAGACAGTCCTCTCCCCAGCCACTTCCGTCAGCTCTTCCGAGGGAACCCCGAGGCGTTCCCAGGCCAGCTGGGCGATGTAATTCCGCCAGCGTGTCCTGGGGCGGCCCTGAGGTCTCCTCCCGGTTGGACATGCCCAAAACACCTCCCAGGGGAGGCGTCCGGAAGGCATCCTTACCAGATGCCCAAACCACCTCAACTGGCTCCTCTTGATTTGGAGGAGCAGCGGCTCTACTCCGAGTCCCTCCTGGATGTCCGAGCTCCTCACCCTATCTCTAAGGCCTCTCGTTTGGCCTGCCGGTACCCGCCAGCTGCTTCCGGAGACCCACAGACCAACCATGCCCTGTAGGCCTCCTTCTTCAGCCTGAAGGCTCCCCTCACCTCTGGTGTCCACCAGCGGGTTTGGGGATTACCGCCGCGACTGGCCCCAGCGGCCTTGCGGCCACAGCTCGCTACAGCTGCCTCAACAATGGTACATTTAATATAATAAAATTACTTTTGATACTTGTTTATAGTAAATATTAGACACTTCAAGACCTTTACTGAAGTTATATTCTATATTAAGTGACTTTAACTTAGGTAATTTTCTGGTATGATATCTGTGCTTTTTTTCAAGTATTGCTTTGGGTATCGTGAGTTTAAATTTGTGACTTAATTTTATTCAGGTAGTGTGAAATAGAAAATGCTCATGGTGTATTTAAAACCTACAGCACCCCCATGTGGCTGATAAACAGTGGTGAGAGAAGTATTGAGAATTTAAGTAAATTGCTCTGGGTTAGGCATAGGTGACTGGACTATCATTCCCAGTAAATTACTGTGTAATTAGCGTTTTATTGTTGTCAACCACTGAAGTGTAGTGTACTCTGAAATAGTAAAGTGTTTCCTGAAATGTAAAGGAGCATAAGTGTAAAGTTGCAGAAAGTAGCTCTCAAGAAACTGAGTTCATGTTGCCAGACAAAACACATACACTTGTTTCCATCACTGAAGGGAAGATTGTATTGTCTTAAATGTACTCCCTAGAGACTAATCCCAACCCCTGCCCTGAACCCTGACCTTAAATCAAGTCTTAACATTAAAATCTAATAATTTACATTGTGGGGACTTGAATTTGTCCCCAAAAGGTTGGCAAGTCCCCACAAGTGACTGTGTACACAAGCGTCCCCACAACATACTTAAAAAATGTTAGCAAACACACACTGAGGTTACAATAGTTTACTGACATTCTTGATTTTAATTAGAGAGCAATTCTGTATGCCACTGGGTATTATCTCCATGGAAATTATAGGCATCTGCCATTATGCAACCAAAACTGTAAAATAATTTGTTTCTCCTGGCGGCTAGACAACTGGTAGCAAACAACTGGAGTTACTATGGAAGCTGAAAACTGAGATGGTCCTGACTGACGGAAATTACTGAAGAGGGGGAGTTACAGAAACCGAGGTAAGTAGTTTCACTTTACAAATCAGCGTCTCACCAAAGCTCCGAAGCGCAATGTCGCAGACAACTTGTCTGCCCAGCACCTGCAAATGTCCACTCACTCACCATTTTTTCTCTAATGTGTGCTAACTTTATTTCTGATCCAGATGTTCAGGAGGATTTCTACTGTGAGTTGAATTATCTGCAGAGGTCTCCTCCTCTCAAAAACAAATGGATCAGTCGATTTCAATTATACATTCACACTATCCAGTAATTTCTGACCAGTGGAGGGGCTGTTGTTCAATATGTTTTGCAGCTTGGTTGCATCCAGAGGAACAGTTAATGTGATTCATAGGATCATATCAAAGGAGGAAGCTAAAAAAATCTGTTTTCTTTTTTTAAAACCTGATCCTGTGACACTCAAATTAAATTTAACTGTGGGACACCTTCAAGTCCCACATAGATTGATAGTCATTATAGACACTATAGACATTTGAGTGATTCTCAGAAAGCATTGCTCGTTTAATATCAGCTTTATTTCAAGATCACCAGCAGCATACCCTTAAAAATTTGTAGCAGTACTAAAAATTTATCATCTTGTACAATTATTAACACCCGTACAATTTTTTTGCTTTGTTTATTTGACATTATAAAGCAGAGGACATAAAACCACACACAAGTCTTTGAGGATGACACAATGTCCACAAAGTCAAAGACATATTTCATGTACAATTTGAATCCCTGGTAACACAGACCCTAAAGAAACAGGAACTAATGCTGGCATTAAAGTTATTATAGATTACCAATAATGAATTAAAAACATTTTCTGTTTTTGTTTTGACCACACAATTCCATTTTTAATGACTTTCTGACTTTAAAGTTATTATACTTCAGACTTTCATGAAAACCAGCTTGTAATATTTTTAAGTGGTAGAGCCATACGAAGTCATTCAAATTCCCTTCACAGGCACAGAAGAATTATTGGAAAAGATGCCAAAAGTTCACATTTTAAGACTGTATTAAGTTACTACTTCTGTAAACTGAGCATTTCCTACTACTGCTGCTCACATTAAAAGCATTCAGAGTGACTTTTATTGTGAAACAGCCACAGGAAGGCAGTGTGTTTGTCACTGTGTCTAGCACTGACAGCAATCATTCATCAAATATTTGTATAGAAAACAAGACAGTGTGCATTTTGGGCATTTTTTGGACAGCAGCTCTGTTTTAAAGATTGCAGATAACATTCATAACAATGAAGTATGAAAAATCAGTTGAGCTGTTACTGTGTGACAAGAAAGAAGAGGGAGTAAATTGCATACAAAGTCAGTTAAAAGAATATTGTATTTCTGACAAAGTAGGTGCTTAAAGACTGTTTGCAGTAGCATTAAAACATAAGGATTATAATGATGAAAGTGTTTTAATTCTCATCCAGCGCCAACATGATTAAATCATTGCTAAATAAAAATCAATTTCAGCACAAGCAAATCCAAGTCACTCACATAATGAAAATTATAGGAAGCCAAGACACTAAAATGTTACTGAGATAAATGAAATCATACCTCAAGTACCAGATTCCTCAAGCATGCCATATATAGAATAAAAATCAAATAGTAAAAAGTATTAAAATCACTCATTAAAATCCATTTCATTTCAAATATGTGACAATTGTTGTGCAAGTTCACACTTGACAAGAGCTAGCTCAAAGCTCAGTTCACACAGATTAAAATAAATTCGTTCACATGAATAATTTACAATTTTGAGTTTTGAGCCATGTTCATAGTCCCCTCAAACAAAGAACTACTTCATGTTCATTGGTAGGATGCTTCAACTTAATGTGTCGTTTCAAATTCATTGCCAATGTGACTGACATTCAGACTTGTTTTTTCAGACTCAACACATTAACTATAAAAATCTGAGATTCCTTCAGTTAGAATCTGGACTGATTTTATTTTTGATAGAAAGCCTTCAAGTATTCAATGAACTGGCTTCAACAGTACCAGTAGCTGTGGTGTCTGAATTGCCAATTGCACTAGCCATGCAGGTGTTGTGTCAAAGTCTGTTTCCCCATTAACTGGTGTTTCCCTCCGTGTACAATGTGTAGTGCCTCCCTCTGTGGTTAGGATAAGGGATATGGTTTGGTTCAGATTTAGGTAGGGGTAAACACATAGGCCCTATAGACTGGAAACAGTCTTTGACACAATGCAATACCGAAACCCCATAAATCATTGGGTGCTGTAAAACACAGAGCTAGTTCATTAGTTAGAATCAGATAAGTTCAGTTCACCAGAAATATGAGCACATTGAATGTACACGCTCTTTCAGTGCACTCATGTACAACACTCCATTTCAATGACACGGTCTCTAATATGAAATGGGGCCCATTGCAAGCTCCTAAAGGAGAGGTCCACTACCTCAGAAGACTTAAACAACAAGAAAGAACCGTTACAAAAATCTGAAATAATATTCTGAGTAATTGATCACTCTCCTCAGCTTGTGATCTAGCCCACCTTTTCTGTATGTCTTCCAGTTTTTTTATTTTCTTCTCCATTTCTCTTTCACGATATGCCCATAACTCATTCTTCCTGTTAGCCGTCTCAGCCCTTATTTTTTGCTCATACTCTTCCTCTAGTTTCTTCCTCAGTTCCTCCCTCTCTTTGCGCATTTGCTCTTCTTCCACTTCAAGGATTCGTTGTTTCTCTTCTTCTATAGCCTTCTCTGCCCTCTGGAACATTTCAGTGGTGTAATGGCTCTCTCCGTTCTTCTCTGTTATATGTCTGATCTTGTAGAGCAGCTCGCTGACCTGAGAACGATCCTCCAGGTTGTTATTGAAGACGTGGTACTGGCCGTTACATCTGGCCACGAGTTCCTGCAGGTCTTCGCTGTCCTTCAAGAACTCCTCAATAGGTTTCCCTTTGAGCAGGTCACCGTGGGTAAAGAGAACCATGCTGTATTTGTCTGCTTCCTCGCCAAAGATTTTCTGAATCTTCTGCACTGTGTTCTTTTCTTCATCAGTGAATCTGTCCAGTTTGATGATGACCAGGAAGACATGGGGTCCAGGGGAAGCAAAACAAATGCACTGGACAATATTTCCAGCCGTCTTCTCTTCATCAGTCCTGGTGTCAAACAGACCCGGAGTGTCAATAACAGCAATCATTTGGCCATCCACCTCACCACAGGCCTTAGCACACTGTTCAGTCAAAGATTTCGGGGAGAACTCTGATTTAAAGATCTGTTTTCCCAGGATGGTGTTTCCTGTGGCGCTCTTCCCAGCTCCAGTCTTCCCCACCATCACAATCCGGAGCTCCTCATTATTGTAAGTGGTCGGTTCTGATGGGATGGCTGAAAAAAAACAACAGTAAGACATATCAACACCCTAGGTATTCATAACAATGTACAACTACAATATGGGCAACCTTTTCAGAAGATGGGCTCAAGGTAGTCTGAAAAATCTAATACATGTTTAGTTTTTACCTTACCTACAGTCAGTTGGCAATTTCTGATTTTTACCAGGGGGGATGGACAGGTGTGAGGGTTAGGGTCCCCTTAGCCTAACCCTGACCAGTCTCACTCTTCATGCCTAAACCTAACCAATTCAACAAACAAAGACACTGAGTACTAGCCAAGTTAGACACATGACCACATGTTATGGGCCTTGAAAAACAAGAGGTGCACACCTAATTTAATGTTTTAAAGACAGGATTGTCAACCTTTTGATTTTTCCAGATACTCTTCTCTCCCACTTTCCTCCCATTTAGATATTTGCCGACTTCACCACAAATCAGCTGTAGCCTAATCATCTCAGCCAGGCATGGAGGGGATCACGCGTTTGGTCGTGTGAGTCTGTGTAAGTGTAACCTCACAAAGACCATGATCACCTGGTACAACAAATAACGGTAACACTTTACAATAAGGTACACAAAATTAGAGTAGTTACTGAGGAACTAATGAGGAACTAACGAGTAGTTACTGAGGAACTACGGTACACAAAATTAGAGTAGTTACTGAGGAACTAATGAGGAAC